CTCTCTCTCTCTCTCTCTCTCTCTCTCTCTCTCTCTCTCTCTCTCGATCATGCCTCGCCGTGGTTTTTCCACGACACTTGCCTTGCTGCCGGTCGTCGTCAGCTGTTGAGATCCCGTATCGCACCTCTCCTTTCCGCGTCTTGCCGTGTTGCTGTAACCAAATATCGCCAGCAGCAGCCGAGATCGGAACGATAACAAGTTCTTATGTGACGAAAGTTAAAGTACCGTTACCTGCATACCGTTTAAACGATGATTTTTCCATGAGCGCAATGACGATCCTTTTCTCTTTTTGGTCCCTCGTTGTCCTCTTCTTTTCGTAGTCGGCAAGATGAGCTGGGGGCACATTCTCGGGGACGCGCTGACCATCCCACTTGATTGACCTTATTCATTTTGCTAATTGGCGCGGCTAAGTAGGACTGATAGAGCCGCGGAAAATCGTCACTCTTATTTTCAAAAATACGGGAGCGCGATGTAACCATAGAAAGAGGAGGGCATATTAGGTGGCGGCAAGACGCCGTGCGTTCGAGATCTGCGTATCTTTTCGTTCCAGAGAGAGAAAAATATCGAGAGCGCGGTTCTGCTAGGCCGGGACTCGAACCCGGACCTTTCGCTTGCCGGGTGACTGCTCTAAACTACTGAGCTACCTGACGGTCCACGCTCACGACACTCTCCTCTCCCTAGATAGCGCTCAGAGATGCCATTCGGGAGCGCTAGTTATGCGCGAAATTAGAGGAATGGAGCCGCATATTTCTTGTGACGGGCGCCATCTGGCCGCCACGTTACAGTACAATCGAACCCACCGCGAGTCCGCCCTGTTGGGCGGGCGAACGTACGAGCCCTCAAGTAGTGTGTATGTGTATGTAGGCACCGTATATACAAAGTCGATGTATTTGTATATACGGTGTCCAGAAGTTACATTCATTGCAATTTCTTTTGTTAATAACTTTTTGACGAACATTGAGCGTCAACAAAGTTTGGGGCGCAGATAACTATGGATCTGTCGACAGATCCTGCTCGAATTCGACAGATCCTGTTGCTAATATGACGTCAATCTGCGCACAGATTGTTTACTGGGCGTGAGCCCTTATCATTTCAAATTAAGAAAAACAAACAGTCCAGCTGGCCAAGTATTAATATTCAGCACAACATAACCGCTACGTCATGAATTTAACAATGGATGCGTAATATATATGTAAAAATCCGTCATTTTTTAGTATTGAACCACGAGCTTATAATCCCCATGGAGCGGAATGAGCACATCGCGGATTTTGTTCAACCAATCGCGAGTCATTATTTCATAAATTTCCAATCCGTGCTTATTCCGCTCCATGGGGATTTAAGAGCCCCTGTTTTAATGCTAAAAATGACGGATTTGTAGATATATATTATGCATCCATTATTAAATTCATGGCATAGCGGTTAAGGTACTTTTACATGGGAACATCGAGCGTCGAGCGTTAAAGCGGTAGCCAATCAACGTGCCACTTTCCGCAAGAACTACAAGTATACTTCTAGAATCTGATACGTTGATTGGTTCACGCTTTAACGCTCGACGCTGGAACGCTCCCATGTATTGGCACCTGACAGAACTATTCCACAGATTTTAAAAACTGCTGAAAAACGCGGAACGTTCGTGATTGGTTCCCCTCTCGTCCTATTCCGTTTCGCTATTCCGCTGCATTTGTTTTTGTTAAGGCAGAGGAAATGCTTTACGTTCACCCCCGGAGAATACGGGACTTCCCCAGGAGTAGTGTGGGACTCTCCCCGTCTGATACTAACCACCGAGGGGGGCCTACTCACTAAAACATCTGCCACTTACGGCCGTCGCGAGGGCGCCCCGGGAACCGCTTGCGCATGACTTCCAGGGCGCCCTTAGCTACCGGACGGGTAAAATAACCGCCCCCGCTCCCGGGCCCCGCTTCCCCCTCTGCCCGCTCCACCAAAATCCTCCATAACCGGACGTAGAGTCTACACATTCCTATAGACAGGGCCGGATAGTCTCGGCGACTTTCCGTCCTGACAGGCCGGTCGCTCCCTCCAGGTGGAGGTTTCACCTAAGGAGGCGATGATTGGCCTGCTCTTTAGCCAAACATATGGCCCTGGCCAGATGTTCTTAGTCTCCTCCACTCTGGAGCTCCTTTACACACCGATAATTCTCAGCGTGCATTTGCGCAAGGAGCTCCAGCGAGGGGAGACCGGCCAGGGCTGCGGCGGCCATATGCGACGTCGTCTTATAGGCACGGGCGAGAAGGATGGCAATCCACCGCTGAGCGCGGTGTCCCAACGCTATGATGTGCTGCTTGGTCGCCATCTCACTCGCCCAGATCGAGGTCCCATAAAGGGCGATGGAGTAAACTACGCCAACATATAGCCACCGCGCCTTTCTTTTTGGACCGCCGAGGTTGGGCAGGAGGGTACCCAACATGTTCGCCACCTTGCCCAACTTAGGGGCCAGAAACTCAAAATGTTTGTGGAAACCCCATGTAACATCCATGACGAGTCCCAGATACTTCAATGTGGGACCCGCCTTCACGGAGACGTTATTAATTCGGATCCGAGTCCTAGGTGGTTCCCCCTGGACCCATCATGCACAAACATGATCTCAGTTTTCAGGGAGGCCACCTTGAGGCCCATCCTATTAAGGGAGCTCACCACCTGGTCCACCGCCAGACGTCCCATTTCCAGGGCCTCCCGCCAGCCCCTGCCCCCGGCCAGCACCATCGTGTCGTCTGCGTAGCAGACGACGGTGCAGCCGGGGGGGAGGGCAAGGGGGAGGACTGGGTCATACGCGATGTTCCATAATAAGGGTCCTAGCACGGACCCCTGAGGAACACCGCGGTAG